TGTAGAACCAGACCTGTTCAGCCTGAAGTAGACTGTGTGCCACTCAGCTCCATCCTGGTTTGATCTCAGCTCCCTGACCTCCTGCCAGTTTACATTTAGGGTCCTGACCCTGATACCAGAGTTACTACCTGGAGTCAGTAGTGGCTCTGAGTTCTAATGTGGCTGGCCCCATTCTGAGATGGCTCCCAGCCAGTTTACCTCTCTTTGAAGACCCTGAAAGCAGAATAACCCACCAGCCATTTGACTCCACTGTGACCTCTGTTCCATTCCACTGGTGTCTCTCTGTGGAAGCTTCTGGGGTCATTAGTTGTCACTAAGCATCTTCACGAGGAGCCGCCCCTCCCACATATCAAGTCCAAGCTCAGGGAGAAAGTGCAACCTGCATTTTCTTCTTTTTTGTTGAAGTCTCTCTCTTTGCTCTCCTTAGCTTTAAATCTCACTTCACTTTCTTCCTGCATCCAGGGACCCACCTCCTTCCTTTTTTTTTCTCATGTAGCCCACAGTCTGGACACCACACCTAGGAGAAGGTTTTTTTCTGCTGCTGACCATTCCACCATATTCATTGAAATCCAAGAGTTTATCTTTAGCAGGCATCCGCCTGAATACCTGGTCTCTCTTTTTTCTGCAATCAGTAGAATGCAAATAAATCACACATAGCCTTCCTGGAGGAAGAGGAATTTGCCAACTTCACCAGTAGCTACCGGGGGTAACATTTGCAGGACATTAGTTCCTGTATAGAAAACTCAACTTTTGTATTTTCATATTTTTATATTACCAAAGCAGACAATTTTCATACAAAAAACATGAGTTGTGTACCATGAAGCAAGATATAAAGCTGTGTGTGCTCATATAATGGAAAGAGCTTAGACCGTAGGTGTTGTGGTGCTCACCAATACAGCCATCACCTGGGAAGCTGAGGCAGGAGGATTACCATGAATTCAAGGCTAGTGTTGCCTGTGTAGTGAGACTTTGGCTCAAAAAAAAAAAGAAGACGATGCTAGCCCATACTGAGAATTTATATTCAATTAAATACTATCATTGTTAATAAATTGTCCTGGTGCTAACATTCTGAGACATTCAATATCAGAATTTGTTATAGAGCAAGAGGCCATGAAAACAGCGCTTCACTCCACAGAGGAAAACCAGCTGAGACCTGATGCTGCAGCTCTGGAGAGGAGCCCACCCCTCTCGATGTCCAGATGTTTCCACTTGGGGATCAGGACTGAGTACAGACAGCTCACCATGGACTTTGGAGTGAGCTGGGTTTTCCTTTTGGTTGTTTTAAAATGTGGTTAGCAAAGAACAGAAGATATTGAGTGTGAGAATCAGCATGTGTGGAATAAACCATTGCCATGTGTGATGGTTTCCTGAGCAGGATATCTCTGGATTGCTGCTGTCCAGTGTGAGGGGCAGGTGGTGGAGTCTGGGGTCAGCTTTATGCGGTCTGGGTGTCTGTGAGCCTCCCTATGTAGCCTCAGAATTCATCTTCAGTAGCTAACATGGACTGAGTCCACCAGACTTCAGGGAAGGGCTTGAGGGACAGTTGTACATAATAAGACTGGTGGTAGGACAAAGTATGGAGAGGCCTGGAAAGGTTGTGATTCACTATCACTAAAGACAATGCCAAAACCATGTTATTTTTGCAAATGAACAGCCTCAGAGCGGAAATGGCAGTGCATTACTGTGCAAGGGACAGTCAGAGGATCCTGATGTAAGCCAGTGCAGGATCTTGTGCAGGGCAACTCGGGACCAGCAAGGGTCCAGATGGAGACCAAGAATAGATGCAGGGCTTCTTGTCATCCTTTGGCTGTCTTAGCATCCTAACTGTAAAGAGCTTGCATGTAAATCTTGAATATTAGTGCAGCAATATTTAGAAGTGGCATCTAAAGAGATGACTAAGACACACATTTTTCACTGGTTTATACTGTTAATTGGAGAGGTCCTCACATATGTGTTTCCAAGCACTCAGGATGCCGAGACAGGAGGACCTCGAGGTCGAATCGAGTCCTTGCTGCATACAGTTGTAGGTCAGCCTGATGTACAGGGTGAGACCTTGACTTGAAAGAAAGAAAGAAAGAGGGACCTGGGATTTAGCTCAGTGCTGTAAGTGCCTGCCTGGCTAGCATGAGGTTAAGAGATTAATACCTAGTACCAAAAAAGAAAAAAGAAAGAAAAGGAAAAATGAAACCCCAGAAAAATAAATGAGTAATTCAAGGAGTCAGAGTTCCATGGTCTAATAGTACTTGTAATCTTACTTGAGAATTAGAGCTTTGGAGTGTGGCCATGTGGATTATACCTTTGTCTGTGGCTTTTTCTGCTTGGATGTAGCTCCCTCACCTCTTCATCTACTTCTTGATCAATAAGAGGAAAGAAGCAGTGTTCTGCCTTGCATTCCTACCATGATTTGAAATTTAGAATGTATACATCTCAAATAAAAGTTCCAATTGAAGATTTCAAATATTTTGTCACAGGGACAAGAAAGTAATGCAAATGGAAAAGGACACAAGTTCAGATGCCATCTTTTCTCATAGGTATGAGACTACTCAGAACTCAATGGGCATTACCAAAAGCATTTATATAGTAGTAAATCTGATTAAGTGCCTGTGCCTCGCGGAGGATGTCAAGGAGGGAATGCACAAGTCAACCTTTACAAGATTTCATGTGGAAACTGCTACTGAATTAGGTGCTCAGAGAGGTCAGAAGCTTGATCCTTGGAAAGAGAAATTCATGAACTTGACCCATCTTATTTAAACTGGTTAGAGGTACAATAAAAAATTTACAATTTTTGGCAGCATATTTTATGCAAGTCTCTAGTTTGAGCCATGGTGATTAGCTCATTTGTGAAATAGATGGCATTATTTATAGGCAAAATACAATCACTACACAGAAAAAATATTAGAACTGGTAATTCTGCACAAAGACTGCAGTCTTACAAGGTAAAAGAATGAAGTTGTGTACCAAAGAGAAGATGTTGGAAGAGTTTTTTTTATTCAAAGTAAAGAAGTATTAAAAAGCTCCCTAGGGGCTGGGAAATAAGCTCAGCGGCATAAGTGCCTGCCTTGCAAGTGCACAGTCATGAGTTCGATCCCCGGTACCAATTTAAAAAAAAAAGTGTTCTCCGGTTTATCCAGAAATGAAAGTTAAAAAAAAAAGGAAGAAAGAAAGAAGGTGGGATTTACACATGATGCTGTCACATCACGCAGCTTCATTATATTGCATCACCACAGCCAATCAGAAATTGTAAATTCCCTAACAATAAGGGCTTAGAGATAACCATTTAAAAGGAAAATGAAAACACGTTATTTCGAAGTCAGAAAAGAAAGGAGGGACAGACAGCTAACTTGTGAAAAGGTACTGGGTGCAAAGTCAGATACCTGAAGGTCTTTGTTCCTGGCTGCTTCACTAAGAGGCCATTCCCCTGGAATTTGTGCCAGGGCCTAGGCTCTCATCGCAAGTGCCACTGGCTACCTGTGAATTTCTAAGTGAGTTGCATTAGGTTTTCTTTCATCCTGTCCATATTTTAGATGTAAATTTTATGAGTTGTTTAAAAGGAACCTTACTGAGAGCCCAGCCAAGAGTCCTGATTGTCTGCTTTAACAGTACAGTGTCAAAAATAAAAGACAGAAACCTATGGTAATGCATCAGTGGCTGAGAAATCAATGTCTCTGGATGGATCCTCCTCCACACCCTAAGCAGCCACCATTTATTAGTTGTATACAGTGATAGGTGGGGCAGGCAAGAATTACAGCTCATCAGAAGACTAAGATTCAAAAGGGTGTAGATGATCACATTCTAAGAAGGATCTTGTCCTGGAGTATAATCCTGGGATGACTCAAGAGGGGGTAGATGGTCTTATGCTTAGAAGAGTCAATGGGAAATCTCACACTGGTGGTACCACAATCTGAACTTCCATTTTATCTCATAGGGTACGAAGTATGAAAAATTAGTCATTGTGAATTTGTGGTCCCCAGCAGAACCTTAGAAACCAAGTCAATTTTACATTTAAGAAATGGACTAATGCATTAATATAGTGAAGCTAGATTCAGAGTAAATATCTGATTCTACTTATATGTATATATATATACACACGTATAATATATATATATATATATGAGAGAATAAAAACATGTATATACACTGCAGGAGATTGAAAATCATATTTTCAATTTCAGTATATTTGGAATGAATGGCCACCATTTTGGTCATCTCTTCTAATAATAGAGACCAAAGTTAACTTGAATTATTCTCATGGTGTCTCAATAAATTTAGTATTAAAATCACAAGTTTGTGCTTACAGTCTAAATTCCTTTTGTCTCCCAGTGGTACTACCGGGAAGTGGATCAAATGTGGGGTTCTATTTCAGCAATCATTCTGGCACTCACTCTTGGCTATGGTTACATTCACAACTAAGGTATGTTTTATGAAACGCCTGGATAGAGTATGATCCTTGTCTGGGGGAGTTAAAATATTAATCTTTCTTTTACCTTTTACTGTTTCATAGAAATTTGCTATCTTTATTTTTACTTTCTTCTTTTACAGAACAGTTGCATTCTTTTTGCAGTCCATAAATTCATTTTTTGGATTAAAATGAGTAGAATGAGAGTGTGAAATTCCTGGCATTGAAATCTACCACCTGATTCGCAACAGCAGTCCTCACTGCATTCAACTTTGCCCTGGACTGACCTGGACTCGGTGTTTTTCGTCATCACAGGACATTTGCCCTGCAACCTTCTAATCACACTTGTGATGTACTTTCAGGAAGAGCTCACATCGTCCATTAAGAAAGCCAGGGTATTTTTCAAAAGCCAAGAATGGTAGCCCTTACATGCAATATTCTTCCTGTGCTGTGTGGCTGACATCTAAAGAGAGAGACTAGACTACAAGTTTCAGGCTATCACAGGATCTCTACTCCTGTGGGAAGAAGTTTGTTTAATCTCAAACTGGAGTTGGTGGCCAAATGCGCAGCAGCCAGTCGGCGATGAGGGCGGGGCCTGGCAGACGCGCCCAATCAGGAGGCCGAGGGGATGGGCACTTCCTGTGTCTTGGCAGGCACGTTCCTGCCTGAGTGGATTGCTGAGCGCCCTGCGGCGTCACCTTCGTTTCCGTGACTCACCCGTACTGCAGGCTGCGTGCAGAGGACCCCATAAGACCCCCAAGCCTCGCAATGGTGATGTGTGGGACGAGGGCTGGAATACGCGGGAATTGTGTCAGCACTGGACGGAAGTAGTCAGAAGCTACTGTGTCAACCAACAGCCTCCCCGCATAGCCCCAGAACCAGGGATGCGGTAGATGTTTGTCGCTGCTTTATCATCTGTTCCTTTTTCCCTCAGATCAGCAGGGACAGTTTTGAGTCCCCAGCATGCTGTCCCCACTGTGGCACTGCCAACCCAGAACGCAATCCTGGGCGTCCCTGGCACGACTATGTCTCTACCAAGCTGACCGAAGCGGTGGTTTGGTGGGAAGCGGGCTCCACCGTCCGCACTGAGGAAGTTATCCCTGCTATTGTTATGGCGGACCTCTGCTCGTAGTGATGCTACTGCATAAGCAGAGCTAATAACCTCATATTAAAGAATGAATTATCGAACGAACAAAGGACGTTAGGAGAGATTTTATTGGAAATAAGAATAGCTCCCTGAATTTCAGGAAGCGCCCCAAGTGGGTGCCCTTGTGGGCGCTCAGTACAGAGTGAGTTATAAACAAGCAGAGCCGAGCAGTTACTCAGTTCAGTTGTTCAGTGGCCACGTGTTACACATGGCTGTGTAGGTTTAAAACACTTTTTCTTTTTTGGGACCGGGGACAGAACTTAACGACCTTAAGCTTGCCAGGCAGGTTCTTGTGCTGCTGAGCTAAATCCCCAGGTGAGCTAGGTTGTTTTGTTTTGTGTCTCGTCTTTTTGAGACAGATGGGTTGCTCTACAATTCAGGCTGGCCTTAAGCTCACTTTGTAGCCCAGACTGGACTCGAACTCTCAACGGCTTTTTGAAATGTTGGCAGTTCTACTGCTTTAGCTGCTGAAGAGGTTGGAGTGCAAGTGTTAACCGTAATGCCAGCCCAAACAACCACTTTAATCAAGCTCTTTAACCATTTGCTCAGCTTGCAGGGTTAAAGGAAATAGGTTTTAGAGAAAATTGGTTATTGTGTATGTCACAGTCCTCAAAAGTCAGTTTAGTAGGGGTTGTCTGTAACTTTTTTTAGTTGCGGGGACTCTGCATTGTTCCTTGACACAGAAAGTTCACCTTCGGTTGTAAATCCTAGGTCATAGCCTTATTTTAATTCTTATCGAAATTGTTAATTTCCCAACTCTACTTCAAGCCCTTTCTCTATTGAAGTGTCTTTTTTTTTTAATCTTTATATCAGTACCGAGGATCGAAGTCATGACCCCCGGCTTGCAAGGCAGGTGCTTATGCCGCTGAGATAAATCCCTAGCTCCTAGGTGCCTTATGTATGAGCTAACTAAATAAAGTGCTCTTTACCATTTTACTATTGCAGTGAGGCTTTCCATAGAATTTAGAATGCTGAGAAAGATGCAGTGGTTGAGCTGGGAATGGGGGTTGAAACTGGAGAATCACTGGGAGTTCAAGGCCAGCCTGGGCTATAGAGTGAGCTCAAGGCCAGCCTGAACTGCATAAAGAGACCCTGTCTCAAAAAGACAAAAAAAAAAAAAAAAATTTGTAAAAAAAAAAAAAAAAAAAAAGATGCAGAGGTACTAAGGACACTTTCCTGAAAGGGTTGTCTATTACCCACACACTGGAAAACATTCTGAACTGGGCAATAAGGGTTACAGAAATTTCACTGAGAAACATCTTGGGATTTATTTATTTATTTATTTTTGGTCTCTTTGTTCACAGGGGTTGATATGTAAGTCATTTCCAAAGTACTTTCTCATCCATTGCATTGTTATGTGGTTCAGGATCTTTCTGATTTACTTGAAAAGAATCATATTTAGTTCCAGAAATAATATCATAATATTTTCCCTGGTAATTGGAAAAAACTCACTTTTCTTTAGGATTTAGTAAGAACTAAAGTAAATGAGATGAGCTTGGAGTGTATGGGTTGATTTTCCGTTTTTGAATAAGCCAAATTACTGAGTTTTTTCACATGGCAATTTTCTTTGGTGATTTTCTCAAATTAGATTTACATCTTATTTTGTATTCAGAGTTTATCTTCAGTGAGCTATATTGTACTTACTTTTTAGACTTGTATTCATAAATATTTACTTCTGTGTACAAAATCTTCATATTGTCTACACTTTAAATATTTTCTTTTTGTTACATTTATTTTCCATGCTTTTCACAAATACCAATTTTTCTTACTTAGCTACTTGAGTTTCTTTTGTGGAAACACTTTTTTTTATCTGCATGTTTATTTCAACATATAACCTGAGTACACAGGCTAGATGGGTATTAAGTCTAGATTGCCAAGCACATACCTGTTCCTACAAATATAAATAAAATACATTGTGATTTCTTCCATGGGTGGAAACTCCAGTTGCATCCAAAATCAATAATCTGTTTCCTTCTGGATCCACTGAAGACTGCCTCTTTCATAAGACTCATTTGTCTTATATACTTAGTAGAACCATACACTGATTTGAAAGGTGCAGTTTTAATGTATTTCATGTATATCATGCCGGATAATCACCTTGCTCACAAGGTATTAAATGCTTTTAGTCTTTTATGATACTACCCAAAAACCTGACACAGGATCTCACTTTATAATTTAGACTGGCTTTGTATGTACTGCATAGCCCAGGGTGAACAATGAAATCATGATAATCTCAAACTCTTTGATGTTTGCCTTACCAAGCCTCCAAAGTACTGGGAAATCAGTACCACCATGCCTGATTAAAGTTTGGCTTTGTGATCATGGCCTGATTACTTTATTACTTCTTGATTTTGAATGAATTTTCTTTTGTATTTAAAGAAATAATGTGTTGAAAATCTGAAAAGCAACTCCTGATTGACATTTCCAAAAAATTGTAGTTACCGAGTGCATTGTGCATATCAATTTAAAATGTACATTGTACACATACAGAAAAACAGTGAAATTATTCATATTTCTTCAGCAATATGTGCAAAGATAAAATGCCTAAGGAACAACATGGGTAACTTGCAAAGAATAGGTTCTTTTAGCACCATTTAAAAAAATAAAAGTGCACAAGTTGGTGAGCGTATTTCATTATATACAGTGAATTGGACTTTTTTTTTTTTAGAGGGGGAAAACAAAAACAGCAAAAGGGTACACGTAATACAGAATTTCTAGAAAATAATATACAGTAAGCAATCACAGGATCTGGGGATTTAGCTCAGCGGCATAAGCACCTACCTTGCAAGTAGGCGGTCGTGAGTTCGATCCCTGGTACCGACAAATAGTTAAAAAAAAAAAAAAAGCAAAAAGAAATCACTAGTTAATAGGTTACATATTGGGGCTGGGGATTTAGCTCAGCAGCATAAGCGCCTGCTTTGCAAGCAGACAGTTGTGAGTTCGATCCCTGGTACCGATAAAAACGAAAAAGACAAAAAAAAAAAAAAAATAGGTTACATATTGTCATCTTAGAAACAGTTGTCCAAATTACAAAATTAAAACATACAAATTAGACATTCATACAATGAAATTGCAGACAGTTTTGTTCAATGAACCAATAAAAACTCAGTAATATGGTTTTCTATCCACACACTTAAATATACATGCAGTTATATCCTTTAGACCACTTTCTTTTCCTCTCTTTTTTACAATAACAATTACACTTTTTGGGTTTTTGAAGAGAAAAAGAAAAACAAAAATAACTCAAATGTGACAAAGCAAAATAGAGTGAGTTAGAACAGAAGGATGGACATAGTACATGATGCAAAAACAATACCAGGTGATCAACACTGGTTACCATTATGCCTCTTGCTATCTTAAAAAGAGTTGCCTATATCGTCAGGTGTAATAGAATTGAACAAAATGATACAGAATAAGACCAATAAAACCTACATTGGAGACCTTACAGGACTTCTAAAGAAGATAATAGTCAAACCAAAATGGGCATGATAGTAAACCTTATTGCCTTTCAAAGTGGTTGCCTATACCCTCAAACTTGACTCTATCAAACAAAACAGAATATAGTAAAATCAGTCAGAGCAAGATGGGGAGAGCAAAACAGGGATTCAAATCAGGTTAATAGGAAAACAAAAAAGGTACTATAATATATCCCGCTATTTTTAAATTTAGTTTCCTCTTAATTAAAAAAATAAAATATAAATTAATTTTTTAAAAAAAAGAGAAAAGAGGGAGATTGAGATAAAAGCGAACATAGTAACAGAACAACACAGGTCAGAACTGAACAATTTAATCATCATTGTGTTTTACCACCAGATAACCTGACATAACAGTAGTCACCATAGTGTCTCTTTCCTTGAATTATTTGAGTATAACTTTCTATACTGTAGCAGAAAACATATCATGACAGTGTGAAGCCAGTGAATTGGACTTTGACACTAGGATGCAAAGCATTTGGCCATATAGTACTAACACATATTCTAAAAGTGTATGGTGTCAAAGAAATACAATCAGCATTCAAAGAAACTTTGTCAACTGGGCAAAAAAACACTGTATGCCTTGTCTCACTGTTGGTCTTCAATAAATATCCTAGCAGCAACTTTCACCTGAAAAGAAAAAAGAAGGAGCTATAACCCCTTTTATTTCACTTTCTCTGTTGAAAATGAAATGAATCACATGAATAATCTCAGAAAATCTGGTGCTTCTCTCAAGAAATCTAAAAAGAGAGAGAGAAAAAAAGAAAATGTGCTCCATACATCTGAGACTTGGCACACATTAGGGTGATTGGCAAGGATCTCAAGGCACTGTAGTTGCTCAAATTTTTTAAGAGCTGAGTGTGCTGAGCGTCACACTGAAGCATTCTTTGATCCCTGCTACAGCCTCATTGACAGGATGTCCCGTCTCATGGAGATTTCTTATACTTCGCTTAGTCTCCCATAAGTGAACGCACATTCCTCTTGGTAGGAAGATGAAAAGCTGTTCCTGTCCACTAATTAAGTCTCGGTCATCAGTAAGTCATGGTGTCAGAAATCTTCACTTTAATTCCCACCGTGTTCATAAGTGTTTCTTCACTTTCAGGAATAGCATCTTCCCAGGCCCTCTGCTTTGAGGACGCTGAGATGTCTCACTGCTGTCTTGTTGGTACTGCCACCATTTCCATTACCAGCAATTTTGTTTGTTCCTTTTTGTTTTCACATCAACATTTTTCTGTTGCAGACCAGATGTCTTCTTTCCTGGAGCAGCCCTCTCACCTTTCCCTCTGCACAGTGTTCCCGACTAGCTTTGTGAAGTTCTTGCTATTTCTGTAGATTGGTACCAGCAAGAACTTGGTACCAGAATAGTCTTCTTTCTGAAATCCATTGATCCCAATCTTGATTCCCACCACTGTATAATATCTAAACCGTTCTACTTGTTTCTCTTTTATGACAGCTTTTACGTACTTTGCTTCATAAAGAAGAGACCCATAGAACAGAGTACTTGTTTACTCTCCTAGAATTTGGATTAACTACATTTTTAATCATATTCTCGTTACCTTCCATTTCACCATTGTCTAATTGCTTTCACGTGCGTGTGAGATGCTCATTTGTTGTTATGAGCTTTAACAGAGAGTACTATCGACTATTCTCCATCATTCTACTTTTTTGTTTTTGGCATTTTGGCTTTTTGAGACAGGGTCTCACTATGCTTTTCAGGCTGGCCTTGAGCTCAGTTTGTAGCCTAGGCTGGTCTTGAACTCACAGTGATCCTCCTGCCTCAGCCTACCAAGTGCTAGGATTACAGGCATGAGCTACCATGCCCAGCTTCATTCTACTATTTTTTATCATTCCATTAATGTCCTTAGACTTGTGCCGATAAAAGTGTATTCATTAGTATTTTAATGATTACTCATAAAGTTTAATGTTTAAGTTTCTTTCAATGAAACATGATTCAAGTTTCCAAATGCTGCCTAAGTAGAAAAAAAAAGATGGGCTCAATTCTATGAATAATCAAATTTGAAGAGACAGATACTATATGGTGTATCAATGCCATTCATGAAGTATTTATCTGTTCCTGTGCTTTGTGGATGGTGATTTGAAGGCTTCCTCTAAGATCCACTTTAAAGGCAGTGCACATACGCATTTTGGGTAACCCTGCAGGGAACCGGTGCAATTATTGTACATTTGTTTTAATAGTTGCATCCGAATTGCTCTGTGCAAATATCTGCATGTACATGGTATTGGTGACCGGTACATGGAATTACTATTTGAAGGAATCGACTTTGATTCAGGTTTTGTAAGAAGATTTGAGGTAACTCAGGCTGTGAGTCTCAACGTTCTTTGTGGTAACTGTGTGATTATTTAGGAGGCAGTGACCTTTGAGGATGTGGCTGTGAACTTCACCCCAGAGGAGTGGGCTCTGCTGAATCCATCACAGAAGAAGCTCTACAGAGATGTGATGCTGGAAACATTTAGGAATATGACTGCTGTAGGTAAGGATGACAGCATTTTCTCATTGCAACAGAGAGCTTTGTGCTCGTTCATTTCTGCAGTTTAATTAAATAGAACATGGAAGCATTTTGAAGACTGTCTTAGGTTAGATTCATTACACCATGAATCTAACCAGAATCTGTTCATTTTTATATAGTGATATAGTGACTTCTGTATTTTTCTGTCTGTGATTCAGGAAGAACGTGGGATAACCAGCAAATTGGACAAGAGTACAAAAATTGCTCAAAGAATCTAAGGTAACTTGCACTTAGAAAAAAATGTTCCTCAAGAGTCAATTTGTGAGCAGAAATGTTATAAATGAGGCCATGTTGAAATTAATCACTCAAAAATTCTTTGGAGATAGATAAATATAATTCTATATAATCTGAAGATGGAGTACAGAAATATTCCAATATAGGAAACTGATAATACTGATACTATGCAACAAATATCACTACCCGGCATGTTAATATAAGAAAATTCTTTCATGAATAATATCATTGAATTGTGCCACATAGCATTTTGATAGTATTTATAGAAATATGTGAAAAGAAAAAATTTTAATTTTGAAAAGAACTCACATACAAGGTATCTATTTATGCGTCTGCCACACACATTATGAGTGTGCCACTCTCATGAAATAGCTACATGGAGGAAGTATTCAAAATGCAAATGAATGCCAGTATTGTGATAATAACTGTTTTCAAAATATTCCCCAGAGGTTTAGTCCACTCATGTTTTAAAATTCATACAAGGTACCCACATACATTTTCAGTCAGAATATAAACCAGAACCATAGTGATAATCTGATAATCATAGTGAACATAGAGATGTCTCAAAGTAAGAATAGAAGTATCTGTTTGAACCTAGAAATACCTGCTTGGGTATATTCACAAAGGAGTTGAAATTCTTTGTCACCGTGATTTGTGAATTCATGTAATCAATGCAAGTTTCCCATAGATAGTCACAGTAGCTAAGATTTGAATACAAGTCACATTAGTTGAGCTCTGGAAATAACCCAGGTACCCATCTCTGGAAGCCTGGAAATGGAAATGTGGGGCCTGCTCTACATGGTAGTACATTTTGTAATCCCTGCAGTTTGGGAAGCTGAATCAGTATGATGACAACCTGATGTTCAGGCTGAGGAAATTAATGATCCACGAGGATCTGTCGAAAGAAAAAAGAAAAAGATTCTAAAGTTAAAATTCAGTGCTAAGATATGTGTTTAATTCTCAGACCAGAAAAAGTGTGCTAGGCCAGGGATATAGCTCAGTGGCAAAGCACCTACCTGGCAAGCATATGATTGTGAGTTGAGTTGCTAGTAACAAAAAAGAAAAAATGTGCAATATATTCAGGCATATGAAAGAATATCATGTCTTTGGCCAAAAAACAAAAATAGTTGACACTCCATCCCATAATATTAGGAAGTTGTCAGACACAGGAAGTGATATGTTAAATAAGAAACTCAAAAAAATGTAATCGGTAAAAGAGAAATGATAGAAAACCGAAAGTTGCTTTTGGAAGTAGGAAAGATGATCAGGTTAAGGAGAGAATGGGAGAGTGATTATTGAAAAGGTATCAAAATTCATCAAAATGTAAGACTCAGTATGCAAGACTCTTCCCCTAAATGAAACTAGACATTGTATATTGCAGACAGGTACTAATGAAAAATTTCCATCCAAATAAATACCATCTTTTTGGAAATTGGTGTTTGACAGGCACCCTCATAACTATTAAGTCAATTCATTGTTGAAATTTCTTAGCAGGCATCAAACTAGAACTTGTCCTAGTAAATTAATATGAAGACCATTTTCATTGTGGTATTTTTTTCATTTTTTATTACAGAAATGATGTGGGAAAATGCTGTCAATATAAAGCTTGGAAACAAGAAGAATTATGTATTTGGACTCCAGATGCTCATGCAGACATGCGCCAACCTGCTTTAAAGCCAAGTGAAAGCCTTGCTTGTAGGAAGCCCCTGATTGGGCATAGGAGGCTAAATGAGCCTGTCATGGCTCACACTCAGCTGAACCAGGATGATTATTTGGGATTTGAAGAGAAACTGTATAAAAGCAATGGAAATAGAAAAACCTGCACTGATACTCAACTCTTTCAAAACCATGAAATGAGAAAACTTGGAGAGAAATGCTGTCAATGTGAGCACTGTAGGAAAGTCTCCTCTGACCCTACTGAACCAAGTTACACTAGAGAGAAGATCTTTTTAGGTAAGAAAAGTGTAAAAGCCTCCAGCATACCCCATGATGTTCAAATGCATGAAAGAAATCATAGGGGGGAGAATTCACATTTATTCAAGCAGTGTGGGAAACCTTTCATTTCTTCATATCATATTCAAATACATGAAAGAAAACATGTTAATGAGAAGGCTTATATATCTAAGGCATATATGAAAATACTAGCTGATAATAATTCCTTTCATAGACATAAAAGAATTCACACTGGGAAAAAACTGTATGTATGTAACCAGTGTGGGAAAACATTCATTACAAAGAGGTCCTATAAAACACATGAAAGTAATCATACAGCTGAGAAATCCTATGTAGGAAAGCAATGTAGAAAACAATTCAGTGATAAGCCCAAATATCGTAGACATACAAAATCCCGCACTGGTGAGAAACCCTATGCATGTAAGCAGTGTGGAAAAGCATTCAACAGGTACAGTCACTGTCAAAATCATGAAAGAACTCACACTGGGGAGAAACCCTATGTATGTGAGCAGTGTGGAATATCTTTCAGCCAAAAAGCAAGTTTGCAGAAACATCAAGGAATTCACAGTGGGGAGAAACCTTATGTGTGTAAGCAGTGTGGAAAATCTTTCATCCAGAATGGTAACCTTCATGTACATGAAAGAATTCACACGGGTGAGAAACCCTATGCATGTAAGCAATGTGAAAAAAGATTTACTGACAAGTCCACATATCATAGACATACAAGATCCCACACTGGTGAGAAACCTTATATATGTACACAATGTGGAAAAGCGTTCAACAGACGCAGTCATTGTCAAAGACATGAAAGAGTTCACAGTGAGGAGAGACCCTATGTGTGCAAACAGTGTGGGAAAGCATTCACTACACAGAATTATTTTCAAATACATGAAAGAATTCATACTGGGGAGAAACCCTATGTATGTAAGCAATGTGGAAAGTCTTTCAACCAACAGACTAATTGTCATGTACATGAAAGAATTCACACTGGAGAGAAACCCTATGAATGTAAGCACTGTGGAAAAGGGTTTGCTGATAAGTCCACATTATCTAGGCACAGAAGATCCCACACTGGAGAGAAGCCCTATGTATGTAAGCAATGTGGGAAAGCGTTCAGCACACTCAGTCACTGTCGAAGACATGCAAGTATTCACAGTGGGGATACACATACGAAAAACTATGTGTGTGAACAATGTGGAAAAGCATACACTAGACAAAAATTTTTTCAAATACATGCAAGATGTCACACTGAAGAAAAGCTGTGAATCAGTAATGTGAGGAATCTTCAGCCAACAGAATACTTGTCAAAGACGTGAAGGAATCCACTCAGAAGAAACCCTATGTATGAAAGGAATGTGAGGAAACATTCAGTACAGAAAAGTGCCCTCAAGTACATGAAGATGGTATACTGGGCAAACCATATGTGTGAAGGCAGAGTGAGTAAGATGGGATGCACTCACACTGCAATACATTTATCTTTGTAAGATGTGTGTGAAAACATACAATGATATCATTTAAATGGTTGAATAAAGTCACACTGGGCAGAAAGCCTGAAGTCAGCAATAAAGGAAAGATTTTGGCATATTTGGGTACTGTCAAAAACATGAAGTCACACTGGAGAGAAATTCCATGCAAGCCTATTTTGAATATCCTATGAAATCTACTCATATAATGATTGACTTTTTTTCTTGTCTTTTGAGACGGGGTCTCAATATGAACTTCAGACTGGCCTTTAGCTCACTTTGTAGCTCAGGCTGGTCTTGAACTCGCAATGATCCTCCTGCCTCAGGGTCCCCAGTGCTGGGATTACAGGTGTATACCACCACATCCATCTCATGTAATGGAGACCTGTAGAAATAATATGAACATATTGTTGCCAATATTTCCTTAATAATATTCCAGAAAATACACTCCATAAAGGAGATACCCTAAAGTGTATTCATTCTGTTTCTCAGTAAGTTAACATATGGGCAGGGGATTTAGCTCGTAGCATAAGCGCCTGTCTGGCAAGCACAAGATCATGTGTTAGATCCCCGGTACCAACAACAACAAAAAAAAAGAATGTAAATTACTTGTAAATATTTAGTTTATGTATTTGGGGTCTCATAATAAAATTGATTTGACACAATCATATTTTTGTTTATGCCAGTGTTTTTGCATTTTACTGTGTCTTTAGGTGAATTTAAATATAGTTTTCACTTCCAAATAGGATTAGTATTTATGTAGTAATTATTTTGCTTTGCTTTTACAGTTGGGAGAAGTAGACCACTAAAAGTAAATTTTAATTGGGTTTCCATTGTTGGGAATGGTCTACTAGCCTTGATTTAAATTTTGTTTTTGCGTATATTCCGTATCCTATATAAAAAACAACTATTTTTGAACTTGATGTTATCTTTGATGGAGAGATTTGTGACCATGCTTTTGACAGATATCAGTTTTCATACAACTTGTGTATTATCCTCAGAAGACACCTGCATATATCCCAGCATAATAGTATATTATATCAAGTACACAATTTTGCTTAGTTTGCCTTCATGTTGGAGTGAATATTATATCATATAAAATTTTACATTATCTTATCAGAAGTTTACTTTTCATGCTTCTCTTATGATGACTTTTAATCTTGTGATAATTTTTCCAACACTTTTACCAAAAAATCAACCATTCTGCTCTGAGTTTCTGATGCTAGAGATCAGCAGAAACATAAATTGTCTACAAGTGGATATCACAAGTTATAGTAATCTCTACAAAAATATAAATGGTGGAATGATTTCTCTATAACCCCATTTTTAAAGGAGTTTGTGTCAACAGTGAAGTTTTTTGGGAAGAATATAGGTTTTTGGAAGAATAATTATTATTGACTATGTTAAGGTAAATTCCTTTATTCTATTACCTATGCTGACAATGCTACTGATTTTGGTAATTGGTTTAACAAGAAGATTAAATAATGCCATGAAGGAAAATACACAGTTTAATAAAAAGAGGAGGTGTACTAACTTATGATTTATGTTGTGTTTTGTTTGACCAACTTTAGGTATAAATTTATAAAATCTGCTTTTTCACTGTCCATCTTGATCAATGCTTCAGTGACCAATGCTTAATGTTTGAGAAATGTGATAAATCAGTGAACACAGTTCCTGCCAAGCTGTGAGCATGAGGCCCATGGGTCTCCCTGAGCTGTGCTTCGCTTTTCTATTTAAGAATGAAATATTTTACAGAGTTTTTGAATACAAACAGTGCTCAATTTCTGATGGGATATAGTGATCAACCTGTGATAACAGAAATATAAATGAATAACAAATACCCACAATACAGTAAACATTATATAACTTGCTCTAGCATTAATTATGCTTAGATCTATAAATGACTCCCTAGTTTATTGATAACATCTAAAATTGTGTCTACATTATCTCTGAAGTAACTCATGGAATGTAACACATATCACAATACAAAGTCAATACTTTATATTTTGGAACATGTGGCTAACTTACCTGTGGCTCATACCTGCTTCTTTCCATCACCTGGAAGATATAGAGAAGGTATTGCTTTTGCCATTGCAGCCAGTGATGAAATATTCAAAATACAAGGTATTTTATCCTGAGGACATTTACTTTACCATTATTTTATCACAAACAAAATCTTTCTGTTCCTTGTGATGCAGGAGGAAACTAAAATGGAGGCTACACCTGCAACTCAGACCCCATCTCAGAATACATAGGAAACTAGGAGATGTAGTTCAGTGCTTTTGTACTCTTACCTTTACTCCGAAAAGCAAATAAGGCCTGATTCACTGATAAGGCAATGAAATGAACTGATTCATCCCATACTGCTCAAGGGGACCTCATACTGTCATGTACAAGGGCCCCAGGTTGCTCTAGACAGCCATCCTCTGAGACCAGGGATTATTTCCACAGGACATAATCTGACACCCCTGAGCACAGTTGTGACCCTATTCCCGGGAGGAAGATGCAGGAAACATCCACCAAAAGTAGTTACAAGGATGCCTCCTCCGGAGTGACAGCACCAGGTTCAGTTGAAATGCAGTGATAACGAAGTCGACCACTTGCACTCCAGGTGTAACCCAGGGATAGAATCTGTCACTTTGTCATCATAACCATTTGATCTCAGAGGTTGGGTCTTTGATCACCAGTCATTGAGAGATACAAGAAGGTTTTATGATCTCATGCACTTGAGAGCACGAGTGAACAGTCAGGACAACACATCATCCCTAAATGAATCATCCTTTATATTTTGACTACTGTGCTTCAGACCCAAAGATATCTGCCAAGATAGAGCCCAAGATTTTCAGCTTCTCTTGCTGTGCAGCTTCCTCAGACTGTCACACAGTCTCAGGAATTTTGTAGACATAGAAACTCTAGAAGCTAGCAATGTAAGTGTGGGCTGAGATGCTCTGAGATGGATACAGATGGATCTAGAACCTCACCATGAAATCTCAAGCCTTTGACCTGTCCTTTTACTGCTTTACCCCTGATCCCCTGTTGCCTGTGACTTGACTGGCAGTGAGGGCCCCAGTATCCTATCCTTCTCCTGCTTCAACTTTGTCCTCATACAAATCTCGATCTGTTTGCAGTTGCCCTGTGCCTCTGTGTCCTGCCATGTTCTCTGTGGACTTCATGATTTCATGTATGTCTACAGGCTCATGTTAGGGTTTCTGCATAGAAAAAGGTACAGATCCTGCATCTTCAGTCTCTATTGTCTCTGGGACATTGTTGAGATTTCCAGTTGTCTCCCTTCCAAGTACCAACCAGGTCCGACCCTGCTTAGCTTCCGAGATCAGATGAGATCAGGCGCGTTCAGGTTGGTATGACCATAGATAATTATTTATCCACTGCTCTATACCTCTATGCATCTGTTTATCACTATTCTATCCATCTATGCTGTATCATACTCCCATTTGTTTACCTATCAATAATCTATGTATTTGTTTATCCTCTATCTACCTATTAATCTACTATCATATATCATCCAGTTTTGTACCATGTAATTATCATCCATGCATCTATCATCTATAATATAAAAATTTGCCAAGAATATACCTCAGTGACACAGCACTCATCTGACAACCATGAGATCCTGAGGTAGATTTCTGGTTAAAAAAAAAAGACAACTCTCTAATATAAATATATATTATCTGTCCAACCACTGTACAAGTGCCCCAACTATCCCCTCTGTCTTTTATGTATATATATTCCACCTAGTTTTCTATGGTTTATTGTCATAATATTTGTATAAAACTAAGCATTTAGTTTATAAAGTTCATGTAGCTAGGGCTGGGGATTTAGCTCAGCAGTATAAGTGCCTAGCTGGCAAGCTTGATGTTGTGAATACCAAAAAAATAAGAAATAAAAAACTTTGTGTCTCTGCAAATAGGTAAAGATATGTAGAATTATCAACATATTATGAACATCAACACCCCCCTTTTATATTCAACCTGCAAAGGCCACTGCCACACACTTGTATTTTGGGACATGAATATTTAAGGTGTACTGCTCTGAAAAAAAATTAAGTATATTATGCAAGACTGCTACTTACTGTCCTGTGTTGTGCTGTAAGTCCCAGAACTTGACATTCTTGCACAACTGAAAATTTGTTCCCTGTGATCAATACTCTTTTTCTCTTCCCCACCAGACCCAAGATAACCTTTTTTCTACTATCTGCTTCTCTTTTATCATTTATGCTCTATGTATAAATAGGATCATGCTGTATTTGCCTTTCTGTGTCTCACCTGCAGCCCTAAAATGGAGAGACTAGAGTGCTGTGACAGGGAGAATGCTGGCACACAGACTAACCCAGGTAATCACATTCAGAAACACCAGAACTAATCATGTTCTAAGGCTGCTTCAGGGAAAGGGTCAATGTGATGACAGTCGTCTGGACTGTGTGTGTTCACTGAAGTGACCTTGGCTGTGTGTCTGTCTGCAGGGAGGCTACCTCCTGAGAAAACTGACCACAGATAACTGTTTACACCCAAAGGACTGATAGCATCAGAGTCTAACCAAGTCAGGCAAAGTTCCTTGCGGCTACAAAGGCCTATTGACACCAGTTTAATTTGTTTTATAAAGAGTAGAACCCTGTGACAGTTTCCTCAGCAGGATGTCTCTGTAAACACAGGCGTTCCGCGTGAAGAGCAGCTAGTGGAGTCTGGGGAGACGTTCTGCAGCCTGATGGGTCCCTGAGAATCTTTGCAGCCTCCAGATTCACCTTCAGCGATTACTACAAGGACCAGGGCCATCAGGCTGCAAGAAAGGAGCTGAAATCGGTGGATGTGGTTAGAAAAAGAAATAAAGACAATAGATGCACGATAGAATACCCCACATCTGTGAAAGACGGATTCGCCGTTTCTAGAGATGGTTCCAAAGCGCTGCCAAGCTGCATGCACAAAGTCTAAGAACCCACAACGCGGCCTTCTGACACCCTGCCAGACAGCTATAGGAGAGACATCAGTGTGAGTTCAGACGCGAACCTTCCTGTAGTGTTGCTCGCGGCCAGAAGGGGCGCGCGAAACTCACTGAGCTCAGGGTTTTCAGGGCTGCAGGACCAGGGACAGGGCGGGTGGGAGCTGCTAACAGCTGGTGCTCTGTCAGGGTCTGGCTCTTCCTCTCCAGCTAATATTCTCCCAGAGAGCGATTCTATGTGTACGGTCCTGCTCCTACCACAGATTTCTCTGAATCGGGAAAGTTTGATGGGGAAAAGTTCATGGGGAAGAATATGGAGACACATTGTCACTGCAGTAAGACCCACGCGTCACTTATGGAAACAAAGAGGAATCCACTGTAACTGTAATGGGGCTCAGACCCTGAGGGAGCTCAGGGCGCGCTGGGTGAGGCCTTTCCACTCAGACCCTGAGCAGAGATCTCCTATACTTTGCAGCAAAAGGGATAGAACAGGAGGACCCTGTATTAGCGAAAGAAGTCAAATAAAGGAAAGAGCCACAAGGTCTTTGTGTGGACGGTAAAACAAGTTGCTCAGAAAGAAGAGTGATGATTTGCAGCTGCGAAGTGTTGTAACAGGTGCCAATAACCATGAATAAAAAAAGGCAAAAACTTCTGAACTTTTGCAGCCAAGAGTGTTGAATCCAATTCATAGTCTCCTGTGAAATACGTTGAG